AAACACATGGGGGAAGGAGAAAAACAAAAAATTCAGAAAAGTAAGCCAAGAAGATCTTCTCACAGCAAAGACCAGACACTCTGCTGCCAACTGCACTTAGTCAGGATGGTGTCCTCCTCAGCTATGCAAAACAGCTGAAAGGAGAACACCATGCACCAGCCAAAATTCTTCCTGTAACAGGACACCATCAGCAAAGCCAGAGACATCAGAAATGTGCCAGAGGACACCAGAATTTGAACTCTGAAGCTCTGCTGCGCTGGAAAGCACCCATCAAGATAGTCCCTTGGGTCAAACTAGACCACTGTGCGTTGAGAAAGTTGTCACAGGTTGAAATTCAGAAGGAACTGGCTCTGCCTGCTGATACACTTTGTTGAGTCTACACTTCACAGAAAATGCAGTGGCACCATTCAAAGCATGAGCAGCATCATCCATCATCACTGAGATACCATATAAGCTCAAGTAAAGGATGTGATTTTGCCCTCACAAAGCCAGGTGCAGCAGTGGTACACACTTGCTGAAAACTGTCAGAAATGGATTGCCTGCTATAAATCAGGGCTTGAAAGTCTATATAGGAAAACATCTTACTCTTACACTGAGCACCTAAGTACCTCTGTCTATTAAAACTCCTGTTTTGCCTGTGTCCCTTAAAAATATACCAAGATCAGAAGAGAAAAAACAGGCCATAAACCAAGATTTTTGAAGCAATTACAGGTCTAATTTCAAGAACTTACAACCCACTGTTTGCATTTCAGAAGACCTCAGAAACAGAACATCATTTTTTCGGTCCCATGCAACCGACTCCATTAGTCAACCATTTTTCTTCTCCCAATAAATGGGATAGAGAGCTGAAACCATGAAAATATACAGATGGTTTCAAAACCTGGGATTGGGAAATGCCAAACGTATTTTCACCAAAGCGGCTGAACTTCTATTATTTTTCATTTAAGAAAAAAAAAAATCAGAACATTTAACTGAAACACCTCATCTTCCTTCACTTTCAGAGGTGTTTGATCCGGTCTAAATCCGTAGGCTCAGCTCCAACCATCTCCTGGTGAGACACGACCTCACCCTTCATAAAGAGCCTCACGACATGCAACGCCACACGGACTTTGCTGGAAAAAAAACCTAAAACTTCAGGAGCCAGAACAATGGCAACTTCAGTCTTGCAGCTCTTTCACGTTCACTTTCAAAAAGGAAAAGTAACAAGCCTGGGAGGCTGCATTTCCACAGGCACCGATCCCTCAATATGCATGTGAACTCAAGTAACCCCCTATTCATCCAGGCCCTAAAATAGGAAGGCACAGTTCTGGACAAGCATATTGATCTGGATTCCTGTAACTATCCCTTTGAAACACAAATAAACTATTGTTAAAAAACCCCAACAGATCTCAGTGTGTGCTCTGGTTCCTTTGCAATGTGTACTATCTGACTACAATCCATCTTGGCAGTGGAGCAGCTACGCAGACGTTCTTCTGAGCCAGCTCTAATGTAAAGGGATGCCAAGTATGTCTTCCTTTTGTATTTACAGTAATAGTCTCAGCTTTCCCCACCGCTGGGAGTGCTGTTGGGGATCAGCTGGCAAAAATACACCGATCTAAAAGGACCACTGTAATTCCACTTGAGGCTGAAACTGTTTTGCAGGGGTTGTCGGCAAGGACCTTCTCCCACATTAATCTACAGCAAGTAACATCGTGGTGCTGTCACTGGCATGGAGCTGACAGCAAATCCTGTGTCTGCCTCCTCCCAAGTTGGACTATCTGTTGACAGACCACTGGCTCTCTTACACTGGTCTATATTTGGAGTGAGGCTCTCTGGCATGTCAGAGCTGTGCTGTCTGCTCTGGAAGTGGAAAAACAAGGGTGATCTATCACAGAAGTGGATGCTTCAGAGAGGCAGGTATACAAATGTTTGAATCAAACGGTGCTAGGATGCAGCCAGTCTGTTGTGGTCTCCAGGAGCCAACAAGGACTGGGGAGGCGTGCAGGAGGTGTCGTATCACTGCGCTGAGTAACCTGTAAATAGAGTTGTTTTGTGGTAGGAAAATTTGCCAACTTCAGGGCTGCTTCACCCTGCAAAGCCTAGAACTTGTCTCCAGCTGCCCTGACTGCACAGCTGGCAGGTCACCTTGAAGCAGCCAGTGCAACACTGGCAGACAGACAGACTGGCCACTGACAAGTACAAGAAGTTTGAAATCATCACAGTATCACAGAATAGTTTGCATTGGAAGGGATCTTAAAGGCTACTCATTCCAACCTTCTGCCACGGGCAGGGACATCTTCTACTAGCCCAAGTTTCTCCAAGCCCTGTCCAACCTGGCCTTGGACACTTCCAGGGATCCAGGGGCAGCCACAGCTTCTCTGGGCAACCTGTGCCAGGGCCTCCCCACCCTCACAGGGAAGAATTTCTCCCTAATATCCAATCTAACCCTGCCCTGTGTCAGTTTGAAGCCATTCCCCTTATCCCATCATTCCATGTCCTTGTAAAACATCCTCCTCCAGCTCTCTTGGAGCCCCCTGAGGTACTGGAAGGTGCTCTAAGGTATAATAAACCAGCCCATGTCCTGTCCCTTAAAACAGGGCACAACCAGTACAACACTGCCCCGTCTCCTCAATCCTGGAGAATAATGAACAGTTTTTGCCACAAAGCTAAAACTCCCACCAGGATTTCAGAAGGACTTTTCGTGTTTGTTTTTTTTTGAAGGTGATAATTCATGTAAATAAACCACCCCTCATGACCATTTAACATTTAACTTATTATACCATTATCCTAATTTATATTTTGTTAAGCCTTAGGGGATTTAGCTGAGAGCCCAGATCCATTGCAGCAAGTGCTATAAAGACACACAGTAGAAAGCAGCCCTTGCTTCAATGAATTTACAAGTCTGAATAGACAAAAGGCAGGAGAAAGGCAAAATTATTCTCCAGGCCCCACCAAAACAGCCAATAAACTTACCCCCACTTCCTGCTGACTTGTGCTCCAGAACGTCAGCTTTCATTAAAAAAAGCAACAACAACAAAAGACATTTCTAGCTCCTGTGGTTGTAAAAAGACTCATGAAGACACACTAAATCAATGCAATCACATTCACCCAGCTATGCAGATGACTATGAGAGGGACACAGCCATTCATCTCTGACAGGGAGCAAATAATTACACATTTCTGCAGCCACAGACTTCTCCATTTCAGTGCAGTGACTTTTAGTCTGTATGTCCCTTCATTCTATCTAAAGTGGTGACTTATCCTCCAGTTTTTCCTGCCTCAAATCCACACTAACATGCGTATTTCCATCACTATTCCAGGTAGTCAGTGCCTACAAGTTTTGGTTGTCAGAGCTGGTATTCTTCTTACACCCCACAGTAGAAGCACAGCACAGTTAAAAGAGAGGAGGCTGAAGTGAACTGTGCTGGAACCAGGACCCAGGAGAAGAGATCAGTGGGAATGTGCAGAGAGGGGAAAAAATAAAAAACAACAAGAAAACCCTTCACCATCCACAGCAATGTCTTCTGAAAGCACATGCCCATGAAACATCCAGCTTGGGGGACAGGGAATTTCATGGAAAGGAAGCAAAGCAACCTTTGCCACATTCAGAGAGTCACTGAATGGTTTGGGTTGGAAGGGACCTTAAAGACCACCTCATTCCAACTCTCTGCCACGGGCAGGGACACTTTCCACTAGCCCAGGTTACTCAGAGCTCTGTCCAACCTGGTCTTGAGCTCTGCCAGAGGTGGGGCAGCCACAACCTCTCTGGGCAACCTGTGCCAGGGCCTCACCACCCTCACAGGGAAGAATTTCTTCCTGATATCTAATCTAGCCCTGCCCTCCTTCTGCTTAAGGCCATTCCCCCTTTCCAGTCACTCCATGCCCTTGTGAACAGGACGTTGTTTAGGTTTGTACCAGAAAACACATGAAGCACCATCAAGCATCCCAGAACTTCTGTGCCAAAACTTGATCTTCCTGAGTGAAACCAGCAGTGTCCCACTCCCTCATCCTTCTTTTCCATTGGGATATTTGCTAACAAACCTTCCCACCCATATACAACTACTCGTGTTGAAAGCACAGACAGGTCTTCAACCAAAACCAAACCCCAGTTCCGTCTTCTCATCTTGAAAGGACGTGGCCAGTCAAGGTGATGTTGGGAACATGACACACTTGGGAACACACCAGTGCTTTCCCCACCTGCTGGCTCGAGGCAGATCGAGCTCTGCGAACTTCACCTCCCCTGCCAGCAGGAAATAAATCTTGTGGTTTTAGAGTTGGAGAGTGAATCCATATTCAGTTAGGAATTTATGGTGACTTTATGGATCCCACAAATGCTTCACTACCACCATTTTCTGGAAGCTGTACAATTCCTGCAGTTCATTCACTGTGTTCAATTGCCTTTCTCTTTCAGGGAAGCACTTCTAATTGCTTTTTTACAGATAGGGGTTTCTGTAAAGAATAGAACATGCTCATACTGTATAAAATGTTACCACTGCCTTTTCAGCTATATATAGCTTTTATAGCTAGTTTTAATTTCCCCAGAGTATTCATCCCAAAGGGTCAAATCTGTCCCTCCTGTGACTCAATGAATGCACACCAAAGTGTATTTGACACAATAATCATGGTCCTACAATTCAAGCAAAGTTTCCTCATACAATTTCTACCATCTCACGAGGGTCCTTTTCTCTCAGCTGCAATGAAAGGTACGGCAGTAAGCAAATACTGTGCAGTCTGCACTGATTTACAGATACCCAAACACTGTTACCAGCCCCTGTGTCCCCATGGCTGTTTGTTTGCTGTTGGGTGGGTATTTTTTGGTTTTAATATTGCATCAGATTGTTCCGCTCTTTCTCTGGGAAACATTTGTACACGTTTCTGCAGCGCAAACACTGCAAAGCCAGTATCAATTTTCTCCCTTATATTAGCCCCTCTGGTACCTTTACATTAACCCAGAATGAATCACTGGCCTCCCAGTCATTTCTTGCTCCATACAGTTTGGAGGAATGGCGTAACTCACATTTCGGAGAAGGCCTGGTTCCTGCAGGCGGGTGGAATGGCTCACACTTCCTCTGTGCTCACATCCAGACAGCCCCTGGCAGCTCCTCCACCTTTTCTCCCAGCTCAGCATCCAGTGTGCTGGCAAAAAAACTCCCCTGCAGCCAGTGCCACACACACAAGGAACAGCGAGGTGGCTCCAGTCCTCCCACCAGCATTGTTTCCACCAAACAGGGTCAGCTCGTGGTGTCAGTTTTCAGTGCCAACTTGGTGTCCTTTTTCCATCAAAATTGCTCATCCTTTTCAGCAAGGAATTGCTCATCCTTTTCATCTGTTGCCCTGTACAAAGACAGAAACATGTATCCCGTGTGCTCCTCACTGATGGAACACCCAGCTCTTCCAAAACAGACCGAGGACACAGCACACACAGGCTGGGCCAAGCTTTAACAAACTGTCCCTCCATGGCAAACTCTGGGCAAACTAATGATAAAATAAAGCCCATAAGTGCCTGTATTAGGCTGGGGAAATGTGAGCTGTGTTTCAGACTCAGATGGGCAAGAGTGTCTTTAGCCCAGACAAAACCCAATGCTCAGCGTATCCTTCACAGAGAACACGGGAATACAAAGGACATGTCAGTGACCTGAGGATTTAAGTCCTGCTTGGTCTCCTCCTGCCTGGCCAGTAGAAAAGAAAAAACCCAGCTGTGAGTGCAGCAGTGTCTGCTCTTCTCACCAGGGACCCAAAGTAAAAAACCCTGGACAGGTGAGACTGAATATTTATTGTCTTCCTCTGCATTACCTCCAGGTAACTGCAGAAAGACCAGTGTCACATTGTAAAGTTCAGCATCTCTTCTGGGTCCTGTGAATGTCACACTCAACCCCAACAAATACTGTCCAAGTGCCTCTTTTCCTTGCTGAGGGAACAGTAGCAGCAACACAGAGACACTAAAGGACCCAGAAAGCTGGAGGGTGTCTAATAGGTGTGTGCCCTTGTGTACCAGAACACAACTGAAAGGAAATTCAAGTCACTATTTAAGGAGCAATGAAAACAGCAAAAAGGAACAAATTCATTTAAAAAAAATAACAGGGCCTGGGAGAGAAAATACGATTTTTTTCCATCTTCCTGGGCAGGAGTCACCTTATTTCATTGGCCTTACTCACTCCACTCTCATAAATGTTGTTATCCCCACTTAACTCATGAGAAACTGGGGCATAATAGAAGTAAGTTGTTTTTGAAAGGCCATGCAAGGTTTGTATGGCAGAGCAAGAATAAAATATTTATGGTGTTAAACGCCCAGGCCTTTTTTCCTTCAGGCACTGGTGGGCTGAGGTATTGACTCGTACAGCAAATCAGTCCTGACAACTCCAGTAAATCTGTCTCACGCCAAGGGTAGTAGGATCAGCCCACTACAAAACATGACATAAATCTGTCCCTTACAGTCTGAGGAGAAGGTGTGGATTTGGGTATTAAAACCATTAAAATCTCCCATTACAAACTCCCAAATCTCGTGAAACACATCTGTTCCTTTCAGGGCGCGACTTTTGGATCGCTGAGGTCCACGAAAAGCTTGATTTGGGTTAATACATTTGGAATATACAAGACTGAGATTCAAGAAAAGCAGTTTTGGTCCACAGCTTTGACATGAATCTTATGTTGCTTTTGGCCAAGTGAACCCCTGTGTCTGCCAGGTTGGAATTGCTTCTGTCTTGTCTCCTTAGCTCCTAAGCTCTTCATGGAGAGGGTCATCTCTACAGGAATACACAGACACTGGAGCTCTAGCCCTGAACAGGAGGATCTGGAAATCAGTTCATTTAAAATACAGCTTAAAATGCCATCAGATACATTCTGATTTCCTGTAGAATTGCAGTGTTAGCTAAGGTTTGGTTTGGGGGGTTTTTTTGGGTGAAAATTCTGGCTGGAATCTCATGGAAAATGCCTGAGGGCTCCCCATGATGGGGAATCTGCATGAACTGAAAAAACACCATCATTCAGTCCACGCTGGTGCCACAGCCTCCCCCTCACCCTCAAGCCACCTTGTTGGTGCCTGCCCAGCTCTCCCCAAACCCTCTCACTTGAACAATTCACCCACAGCAATGAGCAACACCTTCACAGGGGGGTCCTGGGGAAGAAAACAGCACATTTCAAATGAATGTGTTGCTGATAATGTAAACTGCATTAAAGAGCCCATGTGAGCACTCCACTGGTAACACACTGCACACATTTGTCAACCCAACACAAATCCATTTGAATAGATTTCTTGTGGCCTTTTATTTATGAGGGGAAAATATCCCCCAGTCTCTGGGCTGATGAGAGCCCACACTTTCCCTTCTAATCTTAACTGCCTATTATTAGCAGCCCCATTTATAGGATGCCCCTCTGCCTTATATATCCCAAGTACCCCAGTTTTCTACTCTGCATGGGTAAGAGCAGGGGAAGACACAGAGCAGTCAATTAGTGGCATTTCAATGTGCCTTTTGCAGCACACTCCTACACCTGGGATAATCTAATTACACAGGGCAGAAACCTCACACAACCATATATTTTCCTTAGACCCTGCTGCCACCAGCTACTTTTACTCCTCATTGAAACAGAGTCCCCCTCTTTTTTTTTTATTTCCTCCTTTTTCTTTTTTTTTTTTCCACATCGTTAAAAATTTATTATTTAGACTGATGATGACATCATCTGGAAAGGGACCCAGGCTGTGGTCATCAGGGCCTTTTTCTGCATTACAGAGAAGTAGTTTCTCCTCTCTCCCTTGCAGATCATTAATTTTTAAAACAGAGCTTTGCTTTAAATATATACAGCTCATTTTGCTTTCAGCTGATGAGTCAGAGGAGCTGTCTTTCAACCAGGTCAGGTGCCCCCTGTGCCATGTTTCCTGCCCAAACCAGCACGCACAGCCCCTGATGGAGCTCTGGCTCCAGGGCTCTGCAAGGAACAGGAGGGAATTTCAGTGTAAAGAAAGAAATAACTGTATTTGCAGGCTGCCCAGCTTTGCTCTGCTAGTGTAAATAAACAAATAATTGTATTTACAAGCTGCTCAGCTTTGTTCTCCTGTGCATCCTGAAATGGCTTGGAGAACACAGGCCTGGCCCTGCAGGTGCTCCTCAGGGGTGGGATCTCATCAGCTTTGCCTGCAGGTATTTTCTTTAAGGGAAGACTCTGTAATATGGCTCTTCCACAAGGAATGTGAACAGGTTCAGCCCAGTAAGGGCTTGAGTTTTGAAGGGGACTGTCCCATGAGTGCTGGCACTGCTCTTTTCAGCGCTGTGGTTTCCTCTCCCCTGCAGACACCAGGTCTGGGCTGTGCATTAGCTGGAGGATGGCACAAGGGATTGACAAAGCAAAGGCTGATTGTGGGATGCACTGCTTGCATCCTACACCTCACCCCTTTCACTGTGTGTGTGAGCACCCCAGGTCTGTGGGTTGGCTGAGAGCAGAGCCAGCCCCTGAGGCAGCACCCAGAACCCTCCAAGAGACATTATATCAGTCACAGGCACCTCACAGCGGGACCCAGAGTAGAGCAAAGGAGCCTGGCAATGGAGAAGCTGCAGAGAGAGGCTGGACTTGATCTTGGAGGTCTTGTCCAACCTAAATGATCCTGTGATTCTGTGAACTGTGTGTCTGTAGTGTCCTTGTTTGCAGGGAAACACCTCTGTCCCTGCAGAACCCATCATCCAGACCTCACCCTGGCAGGAGCAGGAGCTCTGGGGAGCACAACTTCATCCATCCACCTAAACTTTAATCCAACCCTAAGTCTGCAGGTACTGGTTGCTCATTGTATTATCTGGGGGGAACCACGTTTTTCCTCAACTGCAGGTATTTCTTCACCCCTTACACAGGCAAACCCTTGCAAGCTCTTCTCTGTTTAAGGCAGCATTTTGCAAGTCCCTTCAGATAAAATAGATTTTATTGCCCCCATACACATCTAGGTATTCACAGAAGCACATGGAATCAGGATGGATGTGCAGCTGTCTTGGAAACACTTTAACATGACATAGCAATTTAGGAGGAAGGGACAAGGCACATCTTATCTGAATGAGGATGCAGGACACACCTAGAGAATGGGGGTGTAAACACCACTTACTTTTAGATACTTATCTCAACCTACATTGTGAGACTAATCTCTCTAGACTTCTTACATACTTAGTGAACAGAAAAAAAAATACTTCCACAAGGGAAGTAAGAAAAGAAGCTTAATTTAGATGCACTCTGCTCTCATTGACTCAATGGAGAAAGAAAGTGATGGAGAGAGCCTCCTAAATAAGGTGTTATAAATAGCTGCAATCAACACATAGAAGAGACTCATTCTAATATGTGTCTGACCAGGGCAAGGTGTTGCTCATCCAGCACAGTGAAAGCTGCCACAAGTTCTTTAATGACCACAAGTGGCTTCAGCTTTGGTTTTAGGTTTACTCCAAGCACAACACCAGTCCTCAAACTGTGCTGGGGCACGGGTTCAGGACAGGTCCCTGAAGAACAGTGCTCCCCATTCAATCATGTCCAGCTATTGCTTTCTTTAATGCCTTGTTTTTCACTGAATTTTCCACATCCTAGAACAGGCCCATCCCTTACCTTATGAGCACTCAGAAGCTGCTGAACCCCTAGTGTGGAATGCATGGATTCAGGTTTAAGAAAAAGAATTTGATAGTCTTTTGTTATGTTGTTATTTTCCATAACTCTCCAGTAGATAGGGAGGGCTGTCAGAGTACATACATAGAAACCAGTGTCACACATTGCTTCTGAAAAGAAAATTTAAAGGTCAGAAGTATGAACTGGCTGTTACATGGACATGTGTTGTAATATTTTCTTGGACTCAGTGATCCAGTAACACAGTTCAACAAAATCTGTCAGAACAATCCACAATGCCTTGCTCACTCTCCAAATCCTGCTTTCCCCTCCAACTCCTCAACCTGACTCCTTGCAGGTCCTCAGCTCCCTCCACACCCTCTGAGCTTCCAAGGGATGATCTACAGAGCACCCAACAATCCTTCCTTTTTGGCTGAAGCAAACAAAACAGTTGGGAGATTAAAATGAAACAAAGAACAAAAGGAGACAGTGCAGTCAAATACTTTTCACTGCACTTAGAGTTGTAACTACAAGAAGTATTCTCCAAACACAATTTCTCCAGGGAATGGCAAGGGCAGAGAAGGGAGGGTAAAATGCTCTGTGGTTACACATGGAAACGAGCAGCCTATCAGACAATCTTGAGGAAAAGGTAGGCTCTATACTATGGACAGTTTTTAAGGAAAAATAATATCTCTATTTCAACCTAGAGCAGTGCAGTCCTTTCAAAGCTCAGCACTTTATCTGCACCTCCTGGCTCTAATTCTGCTCTAATTCACTTTTCAAACCCTGAGTTCCCCTTCCCTAGTCATCCTGTTGTCCTCCACAGAAGACTTTTGCCACCTCTACCATCTCTACTGTGCCCTTGGCAAGGGCCTGCTGTTCAAAACCTCTCAGCCCCACAGTGCGGGAACCTTCCCATCATCTGCCCCAAGCCTGTGAATTGGGTCCTAATTGTGCTCCTGGAGGAGAGAGGGAGGTTTTATATGCAGCAAAGAGAAGTTAAAATGAATTAGATTATGGGCATATTAATTCAGGGCACCCACCCAATCCTTTCATTAGCTTGATTCTCCTGCTGCTGTAGCAATCTATAAATGTTACAAGCTTTAAATGCTCTATGTACTTTAAGCTTTATGGGAGCCTACTACTATTAACAGTTCCACAAGTTGGGAGGAAAGGGAGATGCTATCCAGGGTTATATACGAGCCTGTCAAGGCCATGAATCTACAATCTTATGCTAAACATTCCCAGAACTCGGGATGAGACTTCCAGATACTTCATCTCAAACAGCTCCCAAGGTGACATCTAAGGCAGCATTTCCAAGAGTGCTCAGGTCCCACCAGCCCTCCACTGTTTTGGCCACTCCTTGCCTCAGAAGAAGGCATTCCATGAGTGTGATCAGGTCTGAAACACTGAGCAATTCAGCCCAACTCTTCCCCCTGCAGCCCAGACAACCACAGGCGCGTGGTTTGCAAGAGAGCTCCTCGAACTTCTGAACTCCACTTTTTTTCTCTTCGGTAGGGAATTAAGTGGACTTAGTCACACAGAGCCTCACTCGGGGGTCTTTGAAGATGAGGAGCTGGCAGTGATAACACTCTGTGTGTATGTGTGGGGAGGCATTTTTTCCTCTTAGTCCTGAATACCACGTTCAGCTTCTCAATGAGAAATAAAACAGGGATGAGGGCAGCAGCCTTCCCATGGCGATGAAATCACTCCTTCCTAATCACCGTTGGAGCCTCCGCAGCAGGAGACCATCAGGTCACAACCTAATACCTTTTCCACTCATAAATTTCTAGATATCTCTAGTAATGGGATATCTCAGTTTATTGGGGCTGGGCTTGTTTTCTGTTAGTTTTTTCTCAGAATAATCCTATGGAAAAACAGCTCCTTCACGGGCAGCACCATGAATTTCGGGAGCTTTACCTCAGACTGACCATAAATTCCATATTTACACCTATAGCCAGACGGTAAAAAAGTAAGTACAGTACAGTATAGTTTAAAAGTGAAATCTCCATTAAGTTTTATATAACTGCAGATGAGATAAGGTACCTCAGCATCCAGCCTATGCTGGGCTTGCTTTCCAGGAACACAACTGTGCTGTCCTGGTACCTTCCATCAAGAGATCAGGACAAAAATTAACAAATAATAGTTTCGGTCCCATTTTAGAAAGGAAGAGTATTTCTCCAAGCCAATGTTTTCTCTCATTACCAGCAGCTACATTCAGGTGCCCATTCTCACCCTTCCACCTCAACAACAGAAAGTCTCAAAACACCAGTTTCAGAATAGGATACGTTTCGTAACAAAAACACGCAACAGCAACGGGGGAAAAAAACACAGAAGCACTTGCTCACAGTAATAACTATTTTCCTTTCCTCTTAAAGCAACACAATGAAGCAATTACTGTACTCTGGGCTTCCACGGGCTGCTGCAGCCAAAGCAATTGGCTGGGCGGCTCGGAGGGGGCTGGAGCCGTGGCACAAGGAAAAGAAACAACTCCTACCAGATATGATTCACTAACAACAAAAACATCCCCATGGTACCTCTTACTTTTCATAGGGTGAGGACAGGTTTTCCACCAGCAGGGTTTTTCGGAGGAGAGGAATTTTTCTGTAATGGGAGTGATGACGTAGGTGTCGGTATGAAAATAGGAAGGACCTCAAAGGTTACGGCTAAGCTGGGAGTCTCCTTGTACCTGAGCCACTGCGGGTTCTCAGAAAACTCCTTGTGGTCTCAGGAGGCCTTACTGTATGGGAAACCCTTTAATTTACTTGAGCAAGGCATTCATGGGTAATTATCTCCCTGGAATTACGGAGAACGTAACGGAGAATAGATGAACAAACACGGAATGGTCCTCGCTGGGGGAGCTGCCGCGTCTCGCACAAACACGTCTATTGCTGGACACACAGAGCAGGGAACCAACCCATTAGACCAAGGAACATCATATAAATTAGAAATAGATTAAAGAACATCATGTAAATGTATTCTGTCTCCAGGCAACAAATTAAGTGACTCATCAGACCCACTTTATACGTATATATTCTAAAACATGTCTTCCGTTCCGATGGCCTTTGGCACACAGCTCTGCTATGAGTGTGCCTCTAAATCTGTATTTGTTTTAAAAGTATTAAAGGCAGAATTGGCAGCAACTTCTACATTTAGCTTGCTTGGCACTTTCTTTTACAAAAGGTTCTTTAAGTCTTTTTCTGGAAAGCTACAAAAATTATGAGACACCCGCTATAAAATTCAATTGAAGGACAGGCAGGTGGGAGAGAAATACTATTACCATTTTTCTCCATGTCAGCAGGCACTAATAGTTCTATGTTTTATATTATAACACATGAGCTTTCGTAATTGTCTCACAGAGATGAAAGTCTGATGAGGCAGAGCTGAGGCTGGGGGTGTCTGAGGTTTCTGCCTGTCATCCTGTGGAAGTTTTCTTAATATCCAGGTTGTTGTATCTCAGCAGGGAGTCTGATGCTGCAAAACTGAATGCAGTTAAAGGTTGTGTTGGCCTGACAAATGATTCAATTACTGTATCATATATTACAAGCAGTATTTCAATATGAGGTTACATTATTTTGCAACTTTGACTCACATGTGCTACTCACAGGTCCCGGTGAGTTCAACCAGACATGTGAGTGGTTGGTGTGTCTCAGAGCCAGACTCCTTTTAACCATCAAGCAGTGGGAAGGATTCCTGTGAACAGCTAAGCAGATGATTTCTTCTACCCCACAGCTGTGCCAACACTGCAAGTGGAATGGACACTTTATACCCAAAATGTACTTTGGAGGAATAAACAAAGAGAAGAGTGAAACTAAGACACAAAGTGTTACTATTGCCTGACTTTTTTTTTTAATAGGCAACAGAACAATGTCAAGAAACTAATTTAACTGCCCTTTCAAATTAATGAATTAATCAAAGAGAGTAGAGTTGGATGGGATATTAGAAAAAATCTCTCCCTGTGAGGGAGGTTGGGTTTCCCAGACAAGCTGTGGCTGCCCCATCCCTGGAAGTGTCCAAGGCCAGGTTGGACAGGGCTTGGAGCAGCCTGGGCTAGTGGAAGGTGTCCCTGCCCATGGCAGGGGGTGGAACAAGATGATCTTTAAGGTCCCTTCCAACCCTATAGGATCCTCTGAATCTGCCATGGGATAAAGGTCTATTAAAATCAGATTTCTAGTACTGGATCAAATCAGACCTAGATAGAAAAATTCATATAAGAGGAATCCATGACATTGGCAGGAATAGGACGAAATGGCAGGAAAATGCATAAAACTGCTACAATAACATAGCTTATATAGACTGTTATCTTATAAAAATATAAGGAAAGATAGTAAAGTACACTAACATACAAAATTTCAAAATAAAAAATGCCATTGCACGGCAACATTTTCCATCCCATCTGACACTGCTCACAAACTTTTTATACTGAAGAGTAGGAAAGAGAGAAAATGGGAGAACACTTTCTTACTTTTTTCTTTTCTCCAAATCTTATCATTTTGATGGTATTTAGAAGAATGAGAAATTTCTATCACCTCAGTTCATCAACTAAACAAGAGTCAGTGTGGCCTAAACTTGACATTTTTCATCTGTGGATATTCCACCCTGAAACAGATGTGAAAGCCCTAAAATATTCTCATGCAAATGGCTACATATGTATTTTATAGACTTAATAAAGCAAACAGGACCTTGACTGAGCAGCGAGAATCACACCTGCCTGTCACAAACACATAAGAGCACATCACCTGCCAATGCCAAATTAGAGTGAAATAATACACAACACTGTCTTAAATGATCTGCTGATTCATTAATGCTTCTGCTTTCCCTTCAGTACAAAATATCTAGTTTTGTCTCAAATAAACACATGGAAATAAAGTCACCCTTAATGTCAATAAATTAGGTTTTGTGTACTTCATTCTCATGCCAATGGGAAAGATGTTGTAAGAGAAGTAGTCTGAGGATGGTCAAAGAGAATTGCAATTAATCTGCCAGAAAGAGTTATGGTAAATATTATTATTATGATTATTAATGATTTGTAGAGCGCTGTAAATCTCCATGGCAGTAATTATGATGCTTTGTATATATAAATTTGGCATTCTGAGTATACAAGCACTTGGGCTTGAACTCTTCCTCGATCATTAGGAAATCAGAGGTCAGATCATCGGTCACTTGAAAAGTAATTTCCTGCAGATTTTCAGGCCATTCGAAGATTTATCCTTGCTGTATAAAAGGTACTAATGATTTCTCCCCAGGCAAACAAACTTCCACAGGGTCTGTCCTTCACAGCCTTTTCAGTGCAGCCACCCAGGGCTGCAGAGGACACAGTGAGTCTGGAACCCCTTTGTGCTATCCACAAGGAAAAACAGGGTGGATACGGCCTGCCAGGGATGAGGAGGTGGCAGGCTGAGGGCCCATGTTGTACATATTTTGGTAGAGTTTCCAAAGATAAACTCAATCTATGGAAAACATTAATCTCTGGGGCCTCCTCTAGGCTGTGTGTCACTTAATGTGTTGAGAGAAGCAGTGGGATTGCAATGATCTCTCATTCTCATGCTAATCCTCCAGGCAAGGAAATTCTCCAAGAGAGGGGTCTGCTTCTTCCCAGCTCCATTCCTCAAGGTTTAGAGTCAAATGTCTGGAAATCCCCGGTTTCAGGTAGGGGATTCCCACAAACCATGACTTGCTGTTAGAAGAGGTTGCCCAGAGAAGCTGCGGATGCTCCATCCCTGGAAGTGTTCAAAGCCAGGCTGGACATGGCTTGGAGTAACCGGGTCTAGTGGGAAGTGTCCCTGCCTATGGCAGGGGGTGGAATGAGATCATCATTCAGGTCCCTTCCAACCCAAACCATTCTGTGATTCTATGAAAGAAGCAGCTTTCTATCTCCCCTTGCAGGGAATCAATAACCTTTCTGCTGGCAGTGGTTCAGCTGCACTTGGTGCTCTGCCCTCTTTTTCAGTAGATTCCTCCTCTGATGATAAACAAAAAGGACATTACAAGTCAATTCCATCGAAGATTAAACCCGAGCACCCTCTGCTCAGCTAAATCAGCAGTTTCTGCAGTCTGAATGCCAGCCAGAAATAATTCACCTATTCCCTCTCTTCCACTGGAAGGCCCTACCTTTCATCCCAGCCGGGAGCGCTGCTCCCCCACAGTTCTGGGAGCACCCATGGGACGTGCAGGGGGAACACACTGTTTGCAAACACACATCAGAGCACAGCTTCTGTCAAGGAATGTTCACTCAGAGGTTCAACCCTTGGCAGCAAAACCAGGCAATAATTCTGATGTATCTCACTGCTCAACGCTGGCTAAGCAGGGAGTGCCCCGGCAAGCCGGGCTCTGACATGACACTATTTGTCTATCAAAAAAATAAAAATATAATAAAGTCAGAACCACTGGGAGTACTTTATCCACTCTATTATGACTGAGCTCAATAGCCTTGTGATTCCAAGCTTTGGAGTGATGGCTTTATGAGAACATCAAAAGCACTGAGCCTGAGCAGCCCTCAAGGATACAGGCATGCTGCTCCTACAAGGAGCCACAAGCGGCTGCAGGCAGAATCCATTGGGAGCTTCCCAAAAGAGAACCCTTCCTGAATTATGAGCGGGCCCACACACGCTCACACTCAACTTCACAGTCCGTTGCTTTCCCAGGAGCGGAGCCTGTGCTGTCTGCACCAAGGCAATATATCTCTTTATGGCCTGCCAGTGACTTTACAGAGAGATAAACAAAGCTTTTAAATCAAAAGGAGACAGAGCACAAGAAAAAGTTTGGCACCCCAGAACATGCACCGCTGTTTGTGCCTTAACCCTTCATGAAAACCAGGAGAGCGAGGGGTTTGTTATGCAGGATCTGCCAATGGATGACCACAGGAAAAAAGGGAAACCCAAGGGTGGAAATTTAAAGAATTGTCCTAAATTTTAATATTTATGTTAATATCTGAGTGAAGAGAAGGTCTGCGTTGATTTAAAACAGTCTGAGAAATGGGTATGGCACTGAATGGAGCTGTAGGATAAGTGGTCTCACTGTAGAACAGCTTGAATTTGCTATTAACCAAGGATGTGTAAATTTGTCTCATCTGTATTGACCCTAAATTTGAGGGGCAAGGAGGAACATTGATTTTATGTGCACAGCACCAAGAATGAGATTGTCACCAAGGTCAGGGTCTGTGGGGGTTCTGTTATGTAAGTAACACCAAAATTATTCCAACTCATAACACATTGTCCTGATCTACTTTTCAAGTGTGGAGCCTTTTGGACAGGCAATATCAAAGCTCCATCAGGGACTGGGTTTAATTATTTTAGAACTGAACAGAAAGTTGACATTTCCAAAGGAATGAAAACCCAGAGCTACTAGAAGTCAGAAAACATCAGGAGGTCCCAAAGCATTCTGGTGGCTCATTTCTTTAAAACCTTCCTCATTTCCCTGCCCCACAACTGATTTCATGGATCTGGACCATAGTTTGTGAAGTTTGGTGCTTGGAGAGCATTTAAATCCATTAAACAACATCCCTCCCTCTTCATACAGAGAATCTGAACATTTCTTCACCTTTCCACTGAAAGTGAATGTGCTTCAGGTTTCCCTTCATTCCTTCCTAGAGAACTACTTCTGTCTGCAAATACAAAAACTCCCCTTGTTTCCCAAGATGAACCAACCCAAATATGGCTCAGCAGCTTCTGCTGTACTAAAGTGAAGAGAAAGATTTTGGGGACAGATTTCACAGGACCAGGTCATTCAACTTCAGGCAACAAGCCACCAACTTGTAACACGAATCAAAGTTACCTGTGTGAACACAAACAGGCCATTTCTTCACCTTCAGCTCCCTGTTTGCAGCCAAAAAGTCTTCTGTTTACAAGAGAGGATATTTCCTAAGAAGGCAGGTGCTTTCACTAAAATTCTAGCCCATGTGAACCTATCTTATGTCCACCTTCCCGAATCCCAGTCCAAGCCATGCTGTTACATTAGAAGGTTTGTTTCAGATCAGGTTCATCCATAAAATGATTTGCAAAATTCAGAACTGGATTGAGAATGATGCTGCAAATCCTTCCCCAACTACTCGGATACTTGGAGCTTTCCCTCACTCCAACTGCACAGCAGCTTCATTATTCCAATCATCATTCCAACCCCTCCAGCTTCAGGAGGACAGTTCCTGATTTTACCTATAAAAAAGCCCGAGGCCAGAAGCCCAAACTCAGAACAAAGTAAAACAGACTTTCCTTCCTGGCCATGACCACAAATCTCACCAGAGCAATCCCATCACCTCGGCACAAAAAGCTGCTTTTCAGTATTTCTACCTGTTTTCACAATTCTCTTCACGCCAAACTTGAAATGCATAAAAGAAACTCCATATTCTTCTGATTTTTTTTTCCTTTTTGAATTATTATTTCTAGCATTTTGGGGTGGTTTCTTTCTCTGTGATCACAGCTGAACTTCCTACTGGCCCAGAGGGAGTACAGAGCAATAACTTTAAATGGCCTTGTAGATGCAGCCATGGCCTCAAGCCAGCACTAATTTCCAATCTCGTTATGCTGAAGAAAGAAGGTGAAGGAAAGAAAAAAGGAAAAAAAAAGGAAAAGAGGAAGAATGCAAACCAGAAAAACCAGAAATATGCCTTAATGTTGGTGAGAATTGGAAAGTCCTGTTGGTGGTTTCAGTGACAGGTTAAAGTTTCTATTAAAAAAAAAAAAAAAAGAAGAAGAATTTGGACTGTTTAAAATGAAAGTGAACATTT